AGTTGAACGCAGTTTCCTTACGTTACTACCACACCTGCCACTTACAGTGTTTTATAACATTACAGAAGGGGCTCGAGTCCGGCGCCGCTGGCTAAATTGGATGACTTATGGAACCTTCGCAATCTACGAGAGATTGTGGGATACGTTTATCTGGACTTTACCGGCTCACCCCCAGAACTCAAAAATCTCACTTTTCTTCAAAATCTCTATAAAGTTACTGCTGAGTGTAAGTTTCTGCCGTTGGTTTTGTATATGTGCCTCCATATAATATTACAGGACTACTTACAAGTTACAAACTTTCCACTGCTTTAAAAAAATAAGGAACTTGCGGTTGCTGGAGCATAGCGTTCGTTGGCCTGGCGTTTCGGAGTCTTGCTTGAAGCCATCAACAGAAATAACCACAGATAAGACTGATACAGACAGAAGGTGCGCAGTAATTATAGCCCGTAGTGACCACACGACTACATGCGTACTTGTTTATGAAGGAGCACCAATGGTTGCTTGAACTCAGTCGCCCTTGTCTGCCGTGGGACGTATTCTACAGCGGCTAGTAGTTCGGGCAGATGAACAATGCCAAAAAAGAGAAAAAAAGGACTAGAATGGCTATGTTATCTGTCTTAACTACTGGCGGCTGTGCGGCTGCTGGCAGGACTCTCGAGTAAGTCCCAAGCAGAGCGGAACTAGTGAGTTCTCAATACAAGCGAACATGTGAGTCCCAGGAAGTAATTGAGAAGAAGAAGAAGACGACTCGATCGCTGGGGGTACGGACAGGCCTACGCAAACACCACAGGGCCAGATGGTCGGGCAATCATCACGCCCCAGTCCACCACGCGTGATGAAAGTTCAACAGGTCAGAGCCCGCATGCCCTCCAACAAGCTATCCACGCACAATAAGGCAATTAACTTTAATTGTCTCTGTATTTTTGCAGCAATGACTGTGTTCTAAAATACTGCAAACCCCTGTGCGTGTATAACCCGTTTCTGCTACTGCTCTTTGATTATGTCTCTGCTGATGACGCATCCGCGGCGAATCTCGAAACGTCAGGCGAATAAAGTATTGTTCCAGCGATCGAGTCGTCTTCTTCCCAGTGAGTTCTGTTAGCAATCGGTGAAAGTTCATTACCGAGTATTGAGATTCCCGGACCTAATTGACAACGAACCCGTGGCTAAGTGGCTAGAACGTTAGACTTCTGAGAAGGTCGCGAGTCGGGGCCTAGTGTGGTGCATCACATGGAGTTGCCTATGACTGACTGAGGACGGCTGCTAAAGCAGAAACTGCCATTCAAGTCGCCCTTGTCTCTGCAAGCAATATTATATGCGTAGTCCAATTAGCAGCTATCGTGATCACCACTGGCTGATGCCACCGTGGCTTTGTAGTTCGCGTCCGTGTCGTTAATTGCCGCAATTTCATCATCTGTATTCGATCTAGGTGTGATAATTACGCGGTCGTTTGGTTCACTGTCATCGGGGTGAGAGGTTTCCACGGCGCTGCATTGTGAGAGTGTACTGGCCGAAGACCTTGAGATTAGCATACACACGGGCAGATAAGAGACCTGAACACGTTTCAGTCAGTGGGAGCTCTGAATAGGGCGGATAAGCGCCAGACCAAGCACACAAACGGGAATGTTATGATAAAAGATTGAAGGAATGCACAGGAACTCAGCTACTTGGCATAAACACATAGGCGCATGAAAAGTAAACAAGATACAGTTAGAATATGCGTTACAGTGATAAAATTTCCCATCTGGAATGGGACGTTACCGGTGGGGAATGCAGGGTGCGTAGCGAGGGCGGGACGGGGAAATTCTGAGATAGATTGCGTGACGGGATAGGTGTCAGCGGCTGCGAGGGAGAAGGGCACCGGCTTCTTCACTGTCGTTTGATCACACCATCCCCATTCTGACCTCGCACCAAAAGTGACTGCCTCGACGCATTCAAACAACGCATTTAGTCCTGTTGGGTTGTTACAAGAGTCAAGGTTATTTTGGGATTCCGATCAGGTGCACAAATGTACCTGGTCGTTAACCCTGCCCGCTTCAATCCTCATAATTATTAGTCACGGGGACTACTGAGTGCGAAGGCTGCAGACTCGACGGTCCAACCTGGACTCTCGAAGTAAACCTGTTGGAAACCCCCTGCCAGTCTTGGAGTAAGCCCTTCGAGACAAACCCCTTCGAGCTAAATAAAAAAAGTTAATACAAAAAATGGTTCTGTT